TTGGCCACTTCGATTTTTGACCATTCCCTTGTAAGTGTAAAGACTTAGACTGCGTTCATCCTGGTCCATTAACTCCGGAACAGTTCCAGCACAGCGCACAGTTCGAGCGCTGTGCTGGAACTGTTCCGGAACCTACTGATCGGTAGGAATCAATCCTTGATTCTTGATGAAGAGCAGTTTGTGCTATCCGTTGACTTACAAAGGAAAGATACCAACTTGATCTGGCAAATCAAAAAGAGATGTATTATCAAAAACGTCGAACGCCGATTTCAAATCTGCTTTCCTTTTTGCGGAACAACTTTCCGGAAGAATTTACAAGCTTTTGAAGTTTAAATTCATCAAGCTTCAGGCGAGATAGAGTTAGCGAACAGCTGTCAAGATCAAACCACCTGAAGAGGGCATTCTGTATGAAGTATATCAATGCAGGAAAGGGGCACATCCAGTGGAAATTTACATAGGTGTTTTTGTACAGCTTTTCGCCAATTTTATGCCACTTAAAGCTTAACATATCTGGATAATCATCGCTCATAGTTTCTACTGAGGAGTTGTTGCGCAAAAGGAGAAAGCAGATCTGGAATCAGAGCTTATAGACGACTCTGGTGGTCGTCTACTATCTCTCCCTTGTTAGTCTTCCTTCTATGACAGTAACGGAGTTTATTGTCAAAATTGCACATGCGTGTATCTTATTGCTTCAGGGGTGAGGTGACTAAGCTTATGGAAACTGACCGACCCACCAGTCAAGTACAAGAGTACTACGACCGTTTTTTCATCCGTGGTCCGATTGGACAATTTGCGTTGAAGCGCTTGACTTGGTAGGTCATTATATCATCTCATAAATGATTACTCGTCATAATTGTAGGGAGGAGACGAAGAGATCGATGCTGTCGGATAATACTCTAAGTCAGCAAGTTGAGGCTGATCGAATCACATATTTGTTAAGTGAGTTTAGAAAGTGGCTCGTGGCTATACTGTACATTGTTACTATATGGCTACAATTTCAGTGGTTGAAGATGCTCTCAAAGATGGTAAAACCAGATTAGATCCTCAAAGTCCTAATCTTACGAATGAGATTGATGATTTGGTTCACAATCATATGAGTCGCATGCATTTGGATGCTGATGAGGTGAGTAGTTGTGGCAGTGACTCGCCTTACTTGTTCAATCTTATGAAGCATATTGTAGAGCTGCCCTCAAGTCGCCGAATCTGGAGTTTTGGATGAAGTAGTTGACCTGGCTTTAAGCGATGACTCTTGCGATCCCTCCGATGTGGAAGATAATGACAAGAAGGTAAAGTTGTTGTTTGAAGTATGTACTCAAAATTGTTTTTTTT